TATTGAAACACGGTGGACCCGCGTTGGTGACTGCGCTGCACCACTTGGTGCAACGCGTACGGATTGAGGAGGAGGTGCTTCCTGAGCTGAAGGATGCCCTTGTGCTACCACTGTACAAGGGCAAAGGGAGCAAGCAGTTGTACGAATTATCGTGGCATCAACTTGCTGAGTTGTGTGGGCAAGCTGATTGCCCGAATCCTGCTCAACCGCCTCGTCAGTCACGTTGTGGAACCTAACGTGGCGGAAGAGCAGTGTGGATTCGGTTCCGGTCGCAGCACTACAGATATGGTGTTTGCAGCTCGTCAGTTGCAGGAGAATTGCCAGGAACAACACCAGCCATTGTACTCGCGTTTTGTTGATTTCACCAAAGCATTTGATGCAGTGAACCGCGAGGCATTGTGGCTGGTCTTGGGTAAGTTTGTTTGCCCGCGTAAGTTTGTTAGTTCAATTGAATGTTTGCACAGTGGTATGCGGGCGAGGGTGCAGCCGAGTGGAGAGACCTCGGATGACTTGGCAGTTGTCTCTGGTGTGAAGCAAGGCTGTGTCTTAGCTCCTGCCCTGTTTAATATATATCTTCATGCAATGTTGTCTTGTGCTTTGATGCCGCTTGTGCTTACGGTGTTCGTGTGGAGCACCGTATTGATGGTGGGTTGCTGAACATCCGTCGTTTCGGTGCGAGAACTCTAGTCTGTGAGACAACTATCCGTATGTTGCTGTTTGCTGACGACTGTGCGTTGCTTACACAAGGCGCGGATGAGTTACAGCACATGACTAGTGCTCTGGCTTCGACAGGAGCCAAATTCGGGCTCACCATCAACACAAACAGAACTGTCTGTCTCATTCAGTCTTCACCGGAGGTGCAATCTGCAATGGTGCCGCAAATCAGCCTTGGTGCTGAAGTATTGGAAGCCAACTCCCGCTTCTGCTACCTTGGGAGTGTGATGTCGACTGACCAGCAGCTTCAAAGTGAGCTTCGTATCCGCGCATCGAAGTCAGCGGCGGCATTCGGGAAGCTACAGCACCGAGTGTGGAACAACCATCAGCGTACCATTGGCACGAAGCTGATGGTGTACAAATCCATGGTGCTGTCCGTTCTTCTATACGGCAGTGAAACGTGGACAATGTACCGGCGGGATGTGCGATATCTCGAGCGGTTCCATCAACAGTGTTTGCGACGAATTCTGCGCATTGGATGGGATGACAGAGTTGCGGACACGGAAGTGCTGCGCCGTATTGGAATGTATGCAGTGGACTGCATACTTTTGCTGAGACACCTGTGGTGGCTTGCTCATGTGTGGCGTATGGATTCGACGCGGATACCTATGAAGTTATTATATGGTCAGCTGAGTATTGGGAAGCGGCATGTGGGGAAACCAAAGTTACGTTACCAGGACATGATCAAAGGGAGCCTCTCACGTTCGAATCTTGATTGCAGTGTTTTCGGGCGGGCAGCACCCAATTCCATCTGCTTTGACTACGGTCCCAGTGATCGCAGTGACTAAGGTTCACTTTCAATGAGCCACGGTCCACTTTGAGATTGCGCGTCGCAATCCAATCACACAACGTGTAGTCCAAAATTGGCGCTCCAACTAATTGTAGTTGATTACAATAACATTTTCGCGTTTGTGGTATTTCCTTAAACCATATTTTCTGATCTCTTGAACTTATCGCGGGTTCGTTGGGAATCACTTTTTACTGTAGAGTTGCCTCCGTATCAGTATGCATTATCCGATTTATTTTATTTCATCTTGTCGTTTCAAGTGATTGGCTGCTGCCTGATATCCCCGGTGTGGCTGCGACTGATGTGCATGTTGACAAGGTGCCTACCTGTCTATTACCCACCACCTCGTCTATAGTGGCTCTAGGAGGCAGTTGGTCATTGCTGGAGGGGACGGGGTGCACGGTCCTTGTGGCCGTGTTAGGATTAAAAAGTGGTACCTTGCAGTCCGTGTGCAGTGGCCTACGGTCCAGCCACTGCCTTGCGTGCGCTTGATTCCCAAATACAGCGTGCTTGTGTTTGCCTATGAAGGAGTGTGAGCCGGCTCCGTTGATGAAACGTGGCTCCCATCCACATGCCTCCCGGTCTTATTCCTTCGCTTTTACACTGGATATGAGGTGTGTGGGTGATGCAGCGCAAGCCACGCATGGTCCCTCTGTAGGCGCAGGCGTCCTGTGGTTGGCCACAGTGACAAGCAAATCCGAAACCGGATACCACTATATATATATATACATATATATATATGTATATATATATATAACTATACATATATATATATATATATATATATATATATATATATATATATATATATATATATAGATGTACGATCTGTGGCACAAATATTGTGCCATCGGAATCATGACGAAAACGAAAAGCAAGATTGGAATAAGAAAAGAGGACAAGAGGCAGTGTTGTTGCCCAATTTCTACGCAGAGTTTTAAGCGTTTTTTGTCAGTTTGTTTTAGTAAGGGATAAAAAGACAGTCGCAGCAACTCGCAGAGATACACATCCGCCACTGATGTCTGTCTTGTGCCGTAACTTCTAAGGTCTCCAACCAGGGACACTCTGTACATCTGAAACCGTAACCAGGGAATCGAGAACAACCGACCGAGGCAAACTGCTTTGTCAGGCTTTTTATGCCGATTCTCCAAGTCACAGGCTGTCCACCGCGCCGCCTGCTTCAGCTCTGTCCAGCAACCGCGAACCATGCACGAGGCGGAAGGCGCTAAGAGGGCATGCGGAATACGTGATCAAGCCACTGCAATTGACACAGCTAAACAACCTCCTCGAGCAAGAGGCTGTCTTCCCTCAAGATGCACTGTCTAACTTTCGCATTGCTTAGCTGGTGAAGCCACCATACACAGACAATTGACCGCAAGCAACGGTGCTCGAAGACAGACAACTGGCGCAGGTCGACAGTACGAGCACACCAGGTCTCGCAACCGTACAATAGTACGGCGCAGACAGTCGCACAATAAACCCGCCCTTTGATGGAGAGCCGGATGTCACGACGGCGCGACAAGTGTCTCAGTCTGGACATTTGATTGTACATGGTTAGACATGAGATTTGGGACGTGAAATTTAGGAACACAGCATAAATCAGCCTGCGGTACCTGTGACACTGCTCTATCACATGCCGTAGAATGAAGATGTGTCTTAGGCATATCAAAAATACACGTGAGCTGACACACATAGATCCGCGTACCAGAGGGGGGAATGGACAAGGATGTGAAGGCCAGATATCCCTTGTCCCTATTGACACAATCATGTCCCTCTAGCAAATTATCGCCCCAGCTGGCTGGGATAAACTTAATTTTCTATATCTGTTAGTTTCAAAGGACCTAGCCACTGTAGGTAAATAGCACAGGAAGGACACAATTCGAATCAGCAACGGGAAGATGGTTGAGAGAGTTGTGTTTCTTTAATGGAGTCAACCGATTCATTTATGACCCACAGCATCCGAAGGTGAAAAGGATCGGAGAAGAGAAAGCGGCTGCGCTTCCATCTTCTACCGAGATAAAAATGGGGATGGGAACGGCACAAGGAAAAAGATGCCGAGATATGGTGCACAAAGTGCAGGATATGCCGGAAAGATACGATGCTCAATTTTCGCATGTGCCTTGTATGTATAAGTCGTAATCGAGAAGCATCCAGCGGTAGACGGACGTAGTAAGCTATCCGGTCGATTGAGTAATTCGGAATAGAGACGGTATCTAAACCCTTAGCATACCGCATAAAGTAAAGTGAAGATGTGTAGTGCATCCGGAAATGTGCTGGTTCTTCTAAACCAGCTGCTACTCTAAACACCCGTTTTGCATACGCTTGCAAGTCGTTGTGGACCGCATAGATGATTTAACACCCAATGAGTTTCTCTCGCTTCAAGCATACAGATTATTTATGTACACTAGTACCGGCATCGTTTGCTCGCTGACGTGCAGTCGAATACAGGTGAACTCGTTCCCATCGTTCGTTTTCGTATTCGCATCGTCCACGCGTAGTTGGGTTGTCTCGTGCGTCTTGACATGTCAGCAACTCGTTGGTTTGGCGCACCGTATGCTCACTTCTCAATCCGTTTTCAGCCCGGACTTCTGTTCCACATCACAAACCTGCTCGTAGGGATATTCTGCGGCTGTCGATTGTCGTAACAGATGGGAGTGACCAAGAGCAGAAATGTAAGCTGCCCAATCAGTCTGAACGGCCGAGTAGAAGATACGAATAATGCACGAACTGGCAGCTGAATAAAAATATACAGTTAACTCACCATGACAAAGAAGACGAAATGCTTGAGACTGGTGTTCAGATGCGCTTCTTCCTGCAGATCACGGACTTCAGAAAAATGTTGGTGGTAAATATGAGCATACACGCGAAACAACCGCTTCAGTATGACCTTGACCACATTGAGAAAGTCGCGGGGAAAAGGTGCCCCTAGGAAAAAGGAATAGAACTAGCAACAGTGCAAGTCACAAACTTGGCATAGGAGAGAGTCGGTCTCTAGAGCTCACCAGCTGTGCATTCCATAACAAGTAAAACGGCGAATTTTTTATAGATTATAAACATGCGACTTTTGACGCACCGAGTGACCTCATCAACTGTGAACAGAGACATGTCGGTGCAAAGAAAATAGGAAGGTTGAGAAAAAAGGTGCAGTGGAGGACGAAAGCACGTAACATTCAAGTTGCACACCCAGCCTATGCCCCTATACCTTCAATCCGTTGCGTGGGAGTGGAGGACTATCAGACCTAAGTAAGTGGAATGCGCTGTGAGCCAACGAGAAAGGATCCCAATAGATATACCGACACCAGTCTACAACTTAGATACTGTATCGCCATACAATTCAATTCTATGGTAGCAAGAGTGGAACAAAAATACTCCCGTTATATTATACATTGAATCCGCGTAGATGCGGGCGACTTCGTGACATGCACAGCCCTCGTGCGACCGGTGATGGTCTTGTGGCAGCGAAACTTCGGTACAGTGTATTGACGTACTGCTAATGACTTGCTATTTTACGCATTGAGACTGAGATCGTGGCGAGAGGAATAACAGAGAAAGTTAAAACACAAACATCACTGAGGCCAGCTCTTTGCCATGTCAAGAAGTCTCTTCTATCAAACATGCTCATCAGCTTTCGAACCAGAAAATCATGAAATGTCAACAGAGGTCAAATTCGAGGCGAAACATTCCATCTCCCTTGACTAAGTTATCAGTCGCCAACCCTGCTGTTTTTCTACACACGCAACAGACGCGCAAACGGTGTATGTTATATGAGATCGTTTACTGGGATACGCAACGCATGCCTAGCCATCGGAGCCTGGTGCGTGAAATAGTGGTGCTGAGTGGTTCAATTCCTGTTACTGTGCTGCCATCGCAATGAGGCTGGACCTTATCGTGGTGCGATGGTTTGTGTGCCTCAGTGATCCATTGAGCTATACTAGGTGGTGCATTTTTGCACCTTCAGAGCCACTCATACCAGATTGATCAATGGTTAGAGGCCAGAAAAACTCAGCCTCCTGGTCCTCAAGGTTGGGGGTTGGAATGAAGGTAGCTCCTTATTCCTTAAAACGGACTCCTTGTATCCCAGTGCCAAACCCGCTGCCTCTCGGCAAGCTTTTTGAACCAAAGGCTTTGGTTGAGAACCCTAATCGTTCTCCTGTCTAGGCCTGGGCAACCTGACAGTATCCTGCCCACGCAATACAATGAATCCTTCCCCAAACAAATTTCTGATGCTCTGGCCACCGCAGAGGATAATCAACGGTGCCCCATCTGCTGCATCGAGCAGGGTGGATAGGGGTTTGGATGCTACTGCTCAAGCCTTCCCGTCTTCTTATTCCCTTTCTTGCGCTTTTTCTCCCTTATCGTCCCGTTCCAGCTTCACTTTTATTCCCCTTGTTTTCAACCCCCCAATGCCCGGCCCTTCCCCACCTTGCTTCAATAGTCGCTTGTCTTTTAGTTTCAACTCACAGGTGAACGCAGAGCGTCACTCCTGCACTGTCAACAGGCCCATGTCCAACCAAGCGGCCCATTCCAGTTCATCGGCTTCCATTTGGAGCCCTCGCCCCTCCTTCAGATTGGCATGCCTCAATGTTCGCACATTGCTTCAGATCGGTCAACAGGCAGCACTTGCCAGAACATTAGAGACCCTTTCGATCGATATCTGCTGCTTGTCGGAGACCCGCCTGCAAGACTCGAGCTCTGTACTCACTCTACGATCCCCTTCAGGTGACACTAGCAACACTTCCTCATTGCGCCTATCCGATGACGATGCAGCTTCGAGCACTGGCCAAGCCGGTGTTGGTATTGCCCTGAGTCCTCGGGCTGAAGCTACTCTGGTTGATTGGATTCCAATCAGTAGCCGGATGTGTGCGGTCCGATTAGCTGGCTCGTTCAAAGCTTCGAAGTCGTGTGGGACTAACAGGTGTCTATTCGTTACTGCTGCCTATGCACCGACAAGCTATAGCGATGAGTCGGGAAAAGACGACTTCTATCGTCAACTGACCGAGTTCCTTAGCCACAGAAGAAGCACGGACACTGTAGTGCTGGCTGGGGATTTGAACGCTCAAGTTGGAAAATTATCCACAGATGATCTGCATCTGGGCGGCCAACATGGTATAGGCTCCCGTAATGATAACGGTGAGCCCTTACTGCATTTGTGTGAGGATGCCCGCTGATTTCCCGCGAGCACTAATTTCCGACACAGCACCCGCCGGAGCGTGACTTGGCGTCCACCAGCCTTGGACGCAAATAGATCACATTGCCATCAGTTACCGCTGGAGAGGCTGCGTCTAGAACTGTCGCTCGATTTGGAGCACAGCTGTGGACACCGACCATGTACTTGTGTGTGCTGACCTGCGGATGCGTTTTGGCGGACGCCCACGAGGACGCTGTGAGCGCATTGACACCAGCTAACTGACAAAGCCAGCTGTTCTGAATGCCTATCAAAGTACGCCGACATGCGAGTTGAGTAAGCGCTCACTGGAGACAACTGAAGGTCACTGGTCGCATGTTCATCAGACCTTACTAGTAGCAGGAAAATCCTCATGTGCTAAGTCTAATCGCCAACATGGACATTGGGTCTCCGCAGTCTCTAGAACTTATCGATGCTCGCCGGCATATTCCGACTGGAAGCGAACACAATGAAACTCGCAAAGAGCTCCGGGCGAAACTCCGTGCTAGCCTGAAGAGAGACCGCGAATCTTGGTGGTCTCTTCGTGCATCAGAGATGGAAGCGGCCGCTGCCCTTGGTAACCATCGTAAGTTATTCCGTCTGATACGGGAAACGGGCAGCAGGAAACCTGGTGTTAGTGAAACTATACGTGATGAGAGAGGACAGCCTATCCATAACTTATCAAAACGCTTAGAGCGTTGGGCTGAACACTTTAAAAGGCAATTTAATCGGTCGGAATTGTTAGATTACTCGCCGGCCACGGATCGCCCCACTCCCTGGGCTGTCCCTTTGGATCCACCCTCTCGCTCAGAAGTCAAACGTGAGATCGAACTGTTGAAGTGAAATAAAACCGCGGAACCTGATGACCTTCCTCCAGCCCTCTTCAAATTCGGGGGACCTGCTCTTGTGGATGATTTACATGAGCTTGTAGTTAAACTGTGGGAGCAGGGAACTGTCCCAACCGACTGGAGCCGCTCCGTCATAGTCCCAATTTTCAAGGGAGGCTCACGATCGGAATGCGGCAACCATAGAGGAATCAGTCTGATCTCCATCGCTTCCAAATTGCTTGCCTCTGTCATCCTTCACAGACTGACTGGCACTTGTAAAAGCCAGATTCGTGAAGAGCAAGCTGGATTTCGTCGAGGTCGTGGCTGCATTGACCACATCTTCACTTTGCATCAATTGTTGGAGCACCGTCACATATATTGGCGGCCCACCGTTGTCGTGTTCCTCGATATCAAAGGTGCATTCGATTCGGTGCATAGACTTGCACTTTGGGACTGTCTACTCAGGAAAGGTGTACCTGAGAAATTTGTAAATATTATCCGAGCATTATATGCACGTAGCTAGGGCAGAGTGAGGGCTTACGGCAAGTTGTCATCGCCCTTTAATATCTCCAGCGGTGTGAGACAAGGATGCCCGCTGTCACCTTTCCTCTTCAACTTCGCTATTGACGAAGTCATGGAAATCGCGTTTACAAAACACGACTTAGAAGGTGTGGAGCTACTTCCAGGAGAACAACTTCTTGACTTGGAGTATGCTGATGATATTGCCCTGATCTGTGACAGCTCACAAACGTGCCAAGCGGCACTGGACAGATTAGCACTAGCTGTCCGTCACTTCGGGCTTTGCTTCGCACCCTCGAAGTGCAAACCGTGCCTCCAAGATTGGTCTGGACCGCCTCCTACGCTGACCCTTGGTGGGGATCAGCTAGAAATCGTTCAAAAATTCAACTACCTGGGAAGTTGTATCAGCGCCCATGGGATTGAAGATGAGATCACGAATCGTACAGCAAAAGCTCGAGGCGCTTTTGCTAATCTTCGCCACTTATGGCGCCGGCGCGACATCACTCTTGCCCTGAAGGGTAGAGTGTACAATGCAGCAGTACGTTCGACCCTACTGTACGGTTGTGAAACCTGGCCGCTTAAAGCGGCGGACTTGAAGAGGCTAGTTACATTCGACCACCGGTGCCTTCGTAATTTAGCTCACATCTGGTGAGAACACCACGTGAGCAACGAGCGTGTCCGACGCCTTGTTGACGGCACAGGAAAAGGAACTGAACCGCTCAGCACCGTTATTTCACGCACCAGGCTACGATGGCTCGGCCACGTGTTACGCATGCCAGCCCACCGACTCCTTCGACGTGTGTTGTTTGCGCACCGGGGGTGTGGATGGAAGAAGAGGAGGGGTGGCCAAGCGATGACTTGGTCCAGAGGAATGTAGGCCCTCACTTCTGAGCTGGCCTCGGTTGGAAGGTTTCGGCTCCCTGGTTGGGGTCCAAAAGACGACGAACACGATTGGTTGGACACACTTACTGATATGGCTAGGAGCCGACCTCAGTGGCGTTCGTGCTGTGAGTTTCTTTGTCCCACCCCATCCCACTTAGCCTCCCCCACCAACCACGATCTCATTATTTAGCCTTATATAATTTTGCACAGTAATTTTTTGGTGCAAAGCAGCCGGCTGGTAGCTCACCGGAACGATGCCCATCCGTTACCGGTAGCTCAGCCAGCTTGCACCAGTTGCTTTTTCTCTCCTTTTTTCTATGTATTGCGGCACAGTAGATGAGGTGTTCCCCACCTCTAGCTAACGTGTATGATGATGATGATGACTGTGCTGGGAACAAGACGTCAAAGACTCCAATAGACAGTGCAGTGTTTCCACAATATATGTGAGAATCTGCACAGGCATCGGTGGTCAAACGCAACTAGTCTTACTAGGTTTGTCGATTTGATGGAACAAGTTTCGCAAACGTATACGA